GATTTCAAACTGCCAACGATAGAAATAAATATTATAAGATAACCAAAAAAAAGTGAAACAAACAAGAGAGAATGCTATAGTCGAGTGCCTCGACTATTAGATACCCGTTACTCAGCTAAACAACTTTATATAAATATGCCTTCTTGTATGTTTTTCGCCGCTCGAATTAGCTCCCGAATTTTATGTTAAAATCGGTACCCAGGGAACACCACGTGGAGGTCGTTGATTTGCAACGGCGTCTTTCAAACCAAAATTAACGTTGACTCTGTTGAGCACCTTGGGCAGCTGTTCCAAAGTCATCCGTTAAATGTCGCTATTGTATTGCGCCATCTACCCCAAGGCATTGGTACCACAGGCCATGAAAGCCGGAAATGTTGGCGCTAGCCAGGCTTAAGCGTTTAATGGGTTTTTGGGCGTTAGAGTGGGCGTGGCAAACTTTTATTAGGCCAATCGATAGGTATTGATGAAACAAATACATATCAATTACAATTTTCATAATAGCATCAAAACTGTGGCCACAGCTTGTGGCTTGTGGGCGTCAGAGGGGGCGTGGCACCATTTTGAAACAAACTTGCGCTGCGTAGGAACTCCTAAAATCTACATGCAAAATGCCAATCTTTTAGCTTTTATAGTTTCCGTGATCTCAGCGTTCATACGGACAGACAGACAGACGGACAGACAGACGGACATGGCTAGATCGACTCGGCTAGTGATCCTGAACAAGACTATATACTTTATAGGGTCGGAAACGCTTCCTTCTACCTGTTATATACTTTTGCACGAATACAATATACCCTTTTACTCTACGAGTAACGGGTATAAATATATAAATCGTTCATGCTTACAGGTTTAAATTTAAGAATTAATGTTTAAGTTTCTAATATTTCATAATTTAAATTTAAGAATTAATGTTTAAGTTTCTTATATTTCATAATTTAAAACATGTCACTATGAGTTCGACATTTAATCTTATTTTATCATCTTGAAGAGATTTAAGTGCCTAAAAAGGGTACTTTTTGTGCCTTTCTGAGGGTTTTCTATGCTTCCATCGGAGGGTGAAAGCACTTTTATCTGTGTCAGAAAAGAGTTAGATCGGACTCAGAAATCTTCCTCTTAAAGTGCGACCGTTTTCAAAAAAAAAAAACACTCTTTCCGGACTCTTTTTTGCACACTTTATGACTGTAAATGCTCAGAAAAAAGTATCAGAAAACAGTAAGAAAACGCTCAAATTGCTTGCTGGGATTGCTCATTTTGTCTGCAAATTCTTGGTCACCTTCGTCAGATTTTATTGGCAAACTTTCGTCAAGATGATTTTGTGTATGTATCGGCTTGAGCTCTGCTAAGTTGTCCCTTTCTCACTACTTTGATCCTCTATATTGAATGTTTTTTCGCCAATGTTCCTTCGATTCAATGGAAATGTGCTATTTTGCTGTCGTAGAATTATTCTTTTGCGCTGTATTTTTCTTCTTTTTATTTGTTCTCTTCATAGTTACACAACTTCTTAAACATTTTCACAAAGAGTTTATTGTTTCACATAGTTAATTTAACTGGCTGCTCGGATCGGTTGAGCCCCCATATAAGATTTATTATAAAGTAAGTATAGGTTTATGGGTAAGGTAAATGATATTATTTATTAAGGTAAATGATATTAATTAAGATTCCAAGTGACCGACAGAAATTCGCGACTACTTTTGACCAAATTCAACTTATTACGACTTCTGCGACTGTCTTCTTTGACTTGCTTCTGTGACTACTTCTTCGACTTCTTCTATTCTCTTCTTCGGCTCTGCAAACTTCTTATCTATCCAAATTTAGCAAATTGGCAATGGGTGGAAATGATGGGTGGTGTGTGTCTAGGATGGGTGTATCAACTTGTGAAGTGATTACTTACATAAAGTATATATATTCTTGATCAGGATCAATAGGGGAGTCGATATAGTCATGTCCGTCTGTTTCAATACCGTTTGCGATCTAAGTTTAAAAGGTAGCGATCTGATTTTTTTTATAGATTGTTGAACACGCCACACAAGAATGGACCTGGTTTTCGTGTATTGACAAATTATTTCTAAAGATCCAAAAAAAAAGCGGGTAGCGGGTGCTCCATTCCTGGGAAAATCAGGTGTGCTCATAGCCGCTCAAAAGCTAATCAGGATGTGTTGTTACAGAAGACGACCGTGTCTGTCACGGCCGAAAGACCATAAGTCTGCCGGCTGTCGTCCGCGGAGACGCCGTCGACCCAGTGGTGTTGCAAGATGTCTTGCCAGACAGTTAGTATGTGTGAGCAGACATTTAATAAGCGATCGGACGTATATATCGTATAGCTCCCATATAAACAATCGGATATTGGTAAAATATACCTATCAGACATCTATATCCTATAGCTCCCATAGGAATAATAGAGTGAAATCGGTCCAAATTTTATGTTTTTCAGGATATTTTGCGCAGTGTATAAACTATTGACATACATTTGTGCAAGACTTTTTTATTTAGGCATACCTTGATCGGGGTAAAAGCGCTTACCGATCGGACGTCTATATCTTATTGCTTTCATAGGAATAATTGTTAAAAGCTGTGAAAATATCGCTTTTTTCCTAGTTTTATATGCCGCCTAATATTATTTGGTTTGATTAGAATCACTCACCATTTTTTGAGGAATCTGAAGTCGCTGCTAGAAAAAGGCAATATTTTTGGTTTTGGGGACATAGCGGCTTTTTCACTTAAAATTATTATTTTAAATTTAAATTATTTTATATTTTTTTCTTTATATGGGGTAAGCTGGCAAATAACCGTTTGATTAATTTGGGATTTCTTTTCATTTCCCTTTTTTATACAGAGGGCCCGTATGTTTTAGAGACTCACTAAGCAAACATTTAAGACAGAATTGCAAATACACTTTAAAAACAAATTAAAAAGTTTACCTGTAATTAACTTATTAACCTAATATATTTATGTTTTATGCAAAAAAATTACATTGGGGACTGGGTCAACACTTTTTAAGCTTTGCACATTCTTTTAACCAACTTTGGCTGAGATAGCCTCCCCGTCGATTCTCGTTGATCGCTTTCCGCGACGTCCGCGTAGACACTGGTGCCTTCTCAATAAAACCACTCCAATGAGAGTTTCTGTATGTACGCTCTGCTTCTGGAGACTTACGACTTTTTGTTTGCCGAGCCCCCTAACTTCTAGGACTCGGCCGTAAATAATAAAAGCTTTTCGGCTTCGTGGGTTTTTTTTCGTAGCTGCCTCTTTATCGAAATTTTTTCACGAGCTTTGATTATATACCAGCTAGGCCCAAGTCTTCACGTCAAAACTTACTGATGGGATTTTCCCGACTTGATCGGTTGGAGGTTCGAATGGAAAAGAACGCTGATGCCGCTCGCCAATGGCGCCATGCCCTTTAACAGCCGAAAAGAAAACCGCTCTCAACAAAAGTCCAACTGACATTTCGCCCTGTTGGCTTTCTCAAAATTTTCATATTTTTACTTTACGAGTAACAGGTTTATACTGTTGATTTACCAAATACGGAAAAAACCTTTTTTGTTATGATGCAGAGTTTACCAAAAGATTGCTTAAACAAAAAATAGAGTTTTAAAATTCTTAGTTTACTGTTAAAAAACAATTATGTATCGAAAAAGGCTAGTTTTCGAGTTGTATTAGTCACCGATGTCATTTCGAGAAAAACGCGTTTTAAGGGGGTATATACCTTTTTTTTTGTCGAAAAAATAGGAAAATTTGGATTTTTTTATGTATGTAACTATTGTTTTTATTAAATGAATGATTATATTTTCTGAAAGTTTAGATTGTTGACAATGTTTATGCAAAACATTTTGAAAAAATATTTAAACTATTACAGTGGGGCTGTTTCCCTTTAACGCCTTTTTTTTAAAGAGCCTTGCGGTGATAATTCCCCAGGACGAACGGGTCAACTGGTACCGAAAAAATAAAAATATTTCATTAGTTTAAAGTAGTATCCTGTACTTGAACGAACGTTTTTAAAATTTTTTTTTTTATGTTTTATGCAAAAAATTACGTTTTTGGACGCTAAAATTCTTACAAAACTATCTATTTCGGCGAAATAAAAATTTTTACATGAAAAACGATCGTTCAAGTACTAATAAAATTCATTACGAACATTTAAAAAAAAATTTGAAGAAAATCGGTTCAGTAGTTTTTCGCCAATCCATATCACCGCAAACAAATTTTTCAAAAAACACCATTTCGAGATATTCGCGTTTAAAGTTTCAGGTTTTGGTTTGGACGGGGACGAGGACGAGGCGTGCGGCTAGGAGCGCTGTAACTTTTTTTCTACTGCTCAAATCTCTATAAAAATGTTCTCAAAAAGTTGTTCTTTAAGATAAAGCAAAAAAATTTTTAGATTTTTTGAAAATGAACAAGAGAGAACCTATAGTCGAGTGCCCCGACTATCAGATACCCGACTCAAAGGGAGGAGACAGAAACTGACAAACTTTAACGAAGGCCGATTAAAATCCACATTTCGATAGGTATTGATAAACACAATAAAACGCATTTTACTTCCGAAATATTTAAATTTTAAAATCGTATATAAGCTATTGCGTGGCACCTTTTTGAAACAAACTTGCGCTGCGTAGGAACCCCCAGAATCGCACAAAATGCCAATCTTCTACTTTTATAGTTTCCGAGCCACGCTCACACGGACAACAGACAGACAGACGGACAGACAGACGGACAGACGGACAGACGGACAGACGGACATTTTATTCCCTCCTGATACTCACAAAAAAAAAAAAATATTTTTATAAGGTGGAAACGCTTCCTTCTAGCTGTTTAATTCTTTTGCACAATAAACAAAATGAAACTTCAGGCAGTATTTAAGTTTTACTAGGTGTAACCCCTAAAACAAAAAAATAACAAAATAAACTGCAGCTTATTTCTTACCTTATAAGAACTCAAAAATGAGTTAAATCTTGATTGAATTGGAACATCAATGTAGCACAATTACCTTATAGTTTGGTACTCACATGTATCGATTTGCACTGTGCAATTAAATTTCTCACAGAAACTTAAAACGATACGAGTTTCAGTGCCATCAATGTAGACATTTTTTATATCGGAGTTCCCGCTCACAGCTAAGTCGCGTGCGTTGGCCTTGGTGTTCTGGAGATTAATAAGAAAATAAATTATGTTAAAATTAAATGTACTGTCCACAAAAATTAATTTTCCAATTTAAATAAATGACATTTTTATTTTAAATGCTATCCCTTTTGCTAAAGGTGGGGTAAAAAACAAAAACTATAATCATCGTTTCTGTACTAAGCCTGTTAAATTTATTTATTTGCTTAATACCAGGTTTTAGAAAAATACTAATCAAATGTCTTGGTAAACCCTTCGACAAAGATTCCATTACTATGCTGTTCAGTTTAAGTCCATGTCCAATTTAGATGCAACCGGGTTATAACGACTAGTGAACGCAGCATCAGCAATAATGATCATAACTATTCTTGGGGTCTGCTATTGACAAGTATAAGTAGATTCAGTAACCAGATTGTGCTACGTCGAAACAAATGCAGTAACGCACTTCATCGGAAAAATAAAGCTTTTTAGACTTACTGTGACTCGGGCAGTCACCTCATAACATCTTTGCTAAGTCAAGATTGTCCATCCGAATCTCGTTGCAAAATTGTCTGGGGGCTCATTTCGTTTGCATACCTATACCGTAAGCTCTATTAATTCAGGCCCTCATGGTAGATATCCCACAGCACAACCGCCTTAGTAAAGATCAGGAATTGGTGCAACAAATTTCAAATCATTGGGATGTAGAGAATTCCTTTAAAACAGCTATCCAAAAATATACTGAAGAGAAACATCTCAGGGTGCAACATTACTTGAATAGCCGTAGCTCTCACAGAATATCCGAGCTTCAGCAGCACGCTTATGGTGTTGAGTGGCGTTAAGTCGTGCAGACTAGTGTCTCGCAGACATAGTGTCTCGCAGTGCTAAGTCAGGAGAGAATATGCTTGACATACAGCCCCTGAAAGATCTTCTATTTCAGCTTCATACCTCAAAGCGCTTCCCATATTAAATCTGCCAGGACCCTCCTGGGGCAGAACGTCATGAAAACGAAATCGATTTCTGAAGCAGCAGTTGTCGCGTTCGTGGCAGCGTGTCTTCATTCAAACCCTTCAGAAACGGTCACAGTGAACTCAACCTCAAGCATAAATGTAGGTTGGCCAGCTAGTGATTATTCACGAGGACATTGAACCACCGCAGCAATGGAGCTGAGCACAAGTTACGGCTATCATCCCAAGCAAATACTATTCGATCTCAAAATGGGGCAAGATACCTGGCCTGTTGAATGTTATTGAAATAACCTGAGGTTCTGGCAACAGCCGAAAAATGTTGGGAAAGATTAGCGCTAAGTTCAAATGTCAACCTAAATGTATGCATTGTACAAGCACACATGTGATGGTGGTATTTATCTTTGATTCGCGTTTGTTAATGCATCTTTAATTTCTCTCTCTCCCTAACTCCACAACTGTGGCAAAGATTAAAAGTATAATTTATGAAGTATATCTTGCCTTAAACTGTCCAGAGCTCGTATCTCTAACCATACTTTACCAATAAGGTCAACAAACAGGCCTTTTGAGTGGCAGTGTATTTTCTAATGATCATGAGGCCAAGTTGAACCTTAGCAAAGTTAGCAAAGGAGTTATGCACACGAAATTCTATGTTACGGTGCAGCCGTCTGCATTGGCAACCTCTAACCTGTAGGTCAGTATGTAACTTTTTTTTTTCGGACGTTGATGCACTATGATAGGTAGCCCTTACGCCACTAAGAAGTGCTTGTTACGCGCGGAGCTCTATTCCCCAATTTAAGTCCATAAGATTTTCACAACACCATGTTTGAAAAGCATTTAGGTCCGATTGTAAGTCTGAACTGCTGCAAATTTCGTTATATTGAGGGCATAGAGTTTTTAAAGAGGACTCGTTGAGTCCTACCACTTAGATTAATTCAGATCGATGTTAGAAGATCACATGGAAGCCCTAAAAAGTCTAGGTTTAATAAAAGAAGGTTTAATAAAAGAAGGAAGTGATTTACTGAATAAAACGCTTTACTAAAATCAGTGTAAACTACGTCAGTCTGCATGTTCTTTCTGAAGCCATTTATTACAAAAGACGTTAGCTCCAAGAGGTTTGTCGTCGTAGATCTTCGCCTTATAAATCCATGTTAACATGGAAATATAATTGATCTACAAAGATGTTGCAAGTGGGGTGTAATAACGTGTTCGAAAAGCTCTGGGATGGCGGATAATTTGTAATTACTTGTATTTGATTTATTTCTTTTTTTATGAAGGGGAATAACAAACGAGTCCTGTGAGGAGTCTTAAGCTCCCTCAAATTCCGATGCAGGAGATCGGCTTAGCAACAGCGGGGGAGGCGGGAAAGCCGGAGAAATGAAGGGCATCCAGGTCAAACGGGAAATATTGGGACCTTGGACCCTTATTTGGCCAGGGCAAGGAGGTCATACAGTAAATTGGCGGATTTCGGACCCGCATAAAGAGGACACACCGTGAATGAACGGTACCTCGATGGATCTAGGACTTCGCATGATGGACGCTGGAACTGCAACAATATGACTTTGAGATCGCGAACAGAATGGGCCAGCTGAATATAGTGGCAGACGCACTATCGCGACAGCCACTGCCAGAAACATCTCGACAGATAAAAGCACAAGAACAGCAGAAGGAAACAGGCGAGTGTAACTGGATAAGGGATATGCGGAGCATGATAGCCCAAAATCCCCAAAAATATTCAGACTACATGACGGAAGCCGACCAGCTATATCGCCACATATCTCACAGAGCGGGGAACGAGGATGTCACATCATGGCTGTGCGTGCCAACGGGGTCCAGACGGCTGGTAATGTCGGAGAACCACGACTTGCCGGTCACATGGGCAGTCAGAAGTCAATCGCGAGGGTTGGTGCCAGATACCATTGGCCGGGAATGCACCGCGATATGAGGAAATATGTGTAAAACCGTTGCCTGCGGTATAAGCCAAGCTACAGGCTACAGGCTAGCCACCGTATGCGCAGATTTCGTAGGACCACTGCCCCGCTCCAAACACGGGAATTCTATGCTACTGGTGCTGGTAGATAAGTTCTCCAAGGGTACTGAAATTGTGCCAATGCATAGGGCAACCACGGAAACGCTTGGAAACGCGATCCGTGAGCGGATCCTCGCAAGATACGGCGAACCCAAGGTGCTCATCACGGACAATGGCGTTAAATTCACCAGCAGGGCGTTTAAAAAATTAGGCGTCTGACACCAGTTCACGGCCTCATACACGCCCCAAGAAAACCCGACGGAGAGAGCCTCAGGACGGTGAAAACAATGATCGCCCAGTTCACCGGGCCAGACCAGAGGACTTGGGATGAGAAAAGGGCGGAATTGCAGTTGGCCGTGAGTACGAGCGTGGCAGAGTCCACGGGATATTCGCCAGCTTTGGTCACCCAGGGAAGAGAGCCCAGGTTACCCTGAGCACTGTACGACGAAGAAACAATCGGCAACGGAAGGCAAACTCAAACTCTGGCCGACCTGGTGAGGCGGAACATGGAAAAGGCAGCGCAGGATCAGGCACGCCACTACAATCTACATATACGCCCATGGAAGCCAAATATCGGGGACACAGTCTGGGCGAAGGAACAAAATCTGTCCGAGGCAGCAGAAGGATTCTCGGCGAAATTGGCACCAAAATATGATGGGCCGTTTAAAATACTACATTTTAACTCGCCGGTGATGTGCAATTTGCGGTATGTTAATATAGGCAAGGAAAAAACCGCCCACATTAGACAGTTAAAACCGCAAAGCATTGGTGGCCAGACCAGGGAAGCGAAGTGGTGACTTTTAATTTGGGGAGATGTCTGGGCGGGAAAATTCAAATTCCACGCAGGGAACTGTTTGGGGAACGGGGAACCGTCTGGGAACAGGGAACTGTCCGGTGAACGGGGAACTGTCTTGGAACAGGGAACTGTCTGGGGAACGGGGAACTGTCTGGGGAACAGGGAAACAGTCTGGGGAAATAATCTTTCAAGGAGCTATATGGAAAAGTATTTTGGGGAAACAGTCGCGGGAAAGTTGAAGTCTTTCAAGGAGCTGTACGAGTAAAGTCTTTTAGGAAAACAGTATGGGGACTGTTTGGGGGACATCTAATACGCAATTCAGGCGGGGAATTCGAATAGTCTACACATCAAGGGCGGGGAAAGTCACCGCTTTCATTACGTTTCCAAAGGAAGGGGGAAATTTGAGGAGTCTTAAACTCCCCACAAATCCCGATGCAGGAGATCGGCTTAGCAACAGCGGAGGATGCAAAGCCGGAGAAATGGAGGGCATCCAGGTTAAACGGGAAATATTCGGACCATGGACCCTCATATAGTAAATTGGAGGACTTCGGACCCGCATAAAGAGGACACACCGTGAATAAACCCGGCAGAGAGAAATTTTTTTCGAAAATTTAGATATTAAGAAAAATTGAGAATGGTCTCATTTAAAAAAAAATATTTTATATTCTTAGATCGTAGAGTAAGAATCTGAATAGAGCTTAAATTTGCTCCGACCGCACCTCTGCACTATGGTTTTTTTCGCGTTATTTTTGGCATAAAGTCATTTTTTTTCTGTATCTTCAAATTTTTTTTTATTTTTATTTTTTAAACACCCTAGACAGATAAAAAAATATGTAACTGTAACATATGGAGCAACGAAAAAGATAAGTGAATAAATATGGAAAACGATTATCCAGGTATGTAATACTAAAGTTTACCAATGTTTGTATCGTTGTTATGTGTTTTTGTCCAATTTTTCATGTTGTGTTTATGTGTATTTTTAGAACGAGCTTAACAAGTGTAGTTGTGTTTCGTGGATCAGTACTTTAGCATGGCAAAGTGTTGCAAAAAGTTGTAAACGAGAAACTATTAACCAAAGTGTGCAGATTAATTGGAAACTAATCCTTTTTGTCCGAATCCACACGTTTTCGAAAAAATCCAAATTTTCTAGTACAATATGTGTTCAGTCGTGCTGAGCTGGTTGACATTTGGAGCAACAACAATCGCTCAGGAGACGCCGTACAACAGCACATATTGAGAGTGATCGCACAAAAAC